ATCCAGTGGATCAGCACCTCAGTGACCTCACCCTTGCTGCGCAAGGGGAGGACTGTGGTGTAACGCGAGTAGTCGTCAACCACCAACAGGAAGTAGCGCTCGTAATCCTGCCCACGGACGGGGGCTAGGCCCCACACATCCATGTGAAGCGTCTGCAGGGGAGCCTCTGTCGGGGGGAAGTGGGAGGAGTGAGGAGTAGCCCGGAGGCGACCCTCGACACAGGGGACACAGGAAGGTCCTGGCCCGGAGGGGAGAGGAGGGAGAGACTGGGGAAGACCAGAGACAAGGACACGGGAAGCCATGCTCCGAAGACGGGGCAAGGAGGGGTGGCCAAGACGGTGGTGCCACAGGAGAGTCTCGTGAGACAAGAGGCGACAAGTACAGGGGGCAGACTCAGGACCAGACCTGGACGCAGCAGCAAACACCTGACCCGACGCTGCTACCTGACCGGACGCGGGGACAGGAGGAGACTCAGTGGTCAGGGTGTAGAGGCTCGACCCCGGCCGACGCGAGAACGTGGCCAGGTGCCGGCCTGTGCGTGCGTCCGTGCAGTGGGTCACCCGCTGACTCGCAGGAGTGAACTGGTGAACCCCCGCATCCTGTAGGTCTGCACCACTCACCAAGTTCGTCGAGAACGAGGGGAGGTACAGGCCAGACAGGGTGCCCGAGGGGGCAGCCGGACACGGGAGGACAGTGGAGAAGTGAGCGAGGACAGGACCCCCAGAGGGGTCAGCCAGGGAGACTGCAACCGGCCGACCAAGCGGCGTGAGTGTGGTGCGGTCCCGAAAGAAGGAGCGAGAAGCCCCAGAGTCAAGTGTAAAGGTGAGGGAGGCCGAAGCCAACGCGGTACCTGAGAGCGCAGCCTCACCCGCACCTGAGAAAGCAGACTCACTAGCACCTAGAGCAGCAGCCTCACCTGTACCTGGAGCAGGAGACTCACTAGCACCCAGAGCAGCAGCCTCACCAGTAGCTAGAGCAGCAGGTCCTATACCTGGGTCAGGCGGGACGCACAGGTGACCTGCACGGTCAGCACTAGTAGACAATGCATACATGGCAGTGAGAATAGCATCATAGTCAAGAGCATATATATCTACCCTCTGCCTAAGCAACTCCACCCAGTCGGGAAGCTCAGCCTCGTCGCCAAACACGGTACGCCAGGCGTCGCTCAGACGGGCGAAGCAGCGGGACGGTGTATGACTACGTGTCCCACAAGGCTGACCAGTCCGAGTACCAGTGCGAATCACGTAAGAGCAGCGAACAGCACTGAGAGACCCTCCACTCTGAGCGTACCACTCACGAAGCTGGCGAGGCGTGAGAGACACGCGAGAGGGTCGCGGGAGCTGCATCTGGCCGCCACCACGAGTAGAAGCAGCAGGAGTGGTAGTAGGAGTAGCGTCGCCACCCCTACAGCCCCAACCAGCGTACCTCTCACGCAGCTGCCGCGGCGTGAGGGATTCACGCCGGCGTCGCTGGGGCTGCATTTGGCTCCGCAAGTAGAAGCAGGAGCAGGACTAGCAGCAGGGAGGCAGGCAGCCAGGCAAGCCAAAAGGCAGGCAGGCAGGCAAGCAGGCGACGCGCAGCGTGCTAGCAGGGCAAGAGCTCACCAGTGGTGGGAAGAGTAGGCTCGGCGACTCAGCGGCTCGGCAGCTCGGCGGCTCGGCGGCTCGGGCGACTCGGGCGGCTCGGCGGCAAGGCGGCTCAGCAGCAACTGCAGCTCAGTAGCTCGGTGACTCGGCGGCTCGGCGGCAGGGCGGCTCGGCAGCAACTGCAGCTCAGCAGCTCAGCGACCCGGCGGCTCGGCGGCAGGGCGGCTCGGCTGTGGGGCGGCTCGGCTGCTGCAGTGGGAGATGAAGGAGGAGGAGAAGCAGGGGAGGCCACACACCTGCCACCCCTCTGCGGCGGCCCCCGAAGGAGCCGCGACGGGCGACGGGAAAAGGGGGGGTGGGTGGTGGGGGGCCGGTAGGTGCAGCGGCGGGGCCAGCAGGTGCAGTTGCGGGGCCGGTAGAAGGGGACGGCAGGAGCCGTCAGGAGGGGACGGCGGGGCCGTCACGAAGGGACGGCGGGGCCGTCAGGAGGTGACCGGGCCGCGACGGGGGCAGGCGGCGGGGCCGCGTAAGGGCCTGGGCGGGGCCTCGACAGAGCCGTCGGCGGGGCCGCGAGAAAGCCGGGGCGGGGCCGCGTAGAAGCCGGGGCGGGGCCGCGCGAGAGCAGGCGGCGGGGCCGCGAAGGAGCCGGGGCGGGGCCGCGTAAGGGCCTGGGCGGGGCCGCGACAAAGCCGTCGGCGGGGCCGCGTGAAAGCCGGGGCGGGGCCGCGTAGAAGCCGGGGCGGGGCCGCGCGAGAGCAGGCGGCGGGGCCGCGAAGGAGCCGGGGCGGGGCCGCGTGAGAGCAGGCGGCGGAGCCGCGTAAGGGCCTGGGCGGGGCCGCGACAAAGCCGTCGGCGGGGCCGCGTGAAAGCCGGGGCGGGGCCGCGTAGAAGCCGGGGCGGGGCCGCGCGAGAGCAGGCGGCGGGGCCGCGAAGGAGCCGGGGCGGGGCCGCGTGAGAGCAGGCGGCGGGGCCGCGACAGAGAGGGCGGCGGGGCCGCGTCAGTGAAGGCGGCGGGGCCGCAGGGGAAATGGCGACCCGAGGGGTCGCTAAAAAAAAGATCGCGCCTCGGGGGGCGCTTCGGTGGGCCCAAAAAAAACGGTCCGTAGAAGGACCCGCTCTATACCATGTGAGAATAAGCGAACAGGAATGAATGAACTAGCAGTGAAATGAGTACAAGTAGGAAACCCTAGAATTGTGTACCCCCTATAGGCTAACCCACTGTAGCCTACACAAGCATAACATATATAATGTTTGACAGTCGGCTCGTCTTAGTCTAGGCGCAGTCGTGGCTGCACGCGTTTACGAGAGAATGCGAGGACAGCGGCTCCTAGGGGCTAAGGTGCGTGAGTCCCTTCGAGTGAAAAATCAAAAGTTGATTTCCTGGTGTGCGGAGATGCGCGGTCCGAAAGAAAGGGGCTCTGATAACCAAGTGTTACGGGTGCAATGAATCGAGGTAGCGAGAATTGCACTAAGGTGTCAAACGAGTACAAAATGTGAGCGAAGGCATGAGCAAACATTTATACGCGAAACATGCAAAACGGTAACGCGGTGCGTGCGAGCTTGCTAGTGCTACGCTGGCGCGAGGCTCGGGCTAGTCCCGAAGCGTAGGCCGATACGGCCATGCCAGCAGTGCGAGGTTTGGTAAAACAGTGCGCGCGAAGTCGGCGAAGTTCCGTTAGCAGTAACGGGCGATCAATCGGCTGTTGCTGTACGCGATGTAGTCGGCTCCGTAAGGAATGCCGAGAAAATTCCTTACAAGTGATCACATGAGTAAGGTGTTCGTAAGAAGGTTGCTCATAGGCGAGGTAGGCAATCGGGCGGATGGAGCAACACCCTCCAGAACCAAACCGTAACTCAAGTGATGACACGCGGATTCGTAGTATTGGCGGATATAGTTTCTTTCCAGGTGGCACGTTCCTTGTGGACAGTAGCTGTGTCTCTCGTGTGAGTGAGAGCAGCGGAACGTGGGAAAGAACATGCTTACATACGAGAAACTTGTCACAAAACGTTTGTGTTGATTTGGGGATACAGTATCTTGCATTACTTGCACTGTAAGCACCCAAATGCATGCCATTTTCAGGAAGCATGCGGACACGCCTTGCTGAGAATAGCGCAAAGAAACATTTCGGTACTTTTGGAGGTCACTTGTGTAGAAACAAGCGCGAAATCTGTTGGTTCAAGGCACGCGCAGAGTCCCAACTCTCCGCGTCGCAGTCACGACTCCTCGTATCCATGCTGGCACAACGTCAGAGCGAGAAAGCACCAGGAAAGCACATTGTGGTCAGCAAACCAGTCTACTTGTCCTGCGTGGCACCGTTGGAGGTTTCTACAGTGTGCTGAACGGTTTGCGATTATGCTTTGCTGTTAATGCAATGGTGGAGATCATGCCTCGGCGAATATCCCATACCCCTCCGATGCCCGAAACTCCTGCCCAATGAAAAAATGTTTTCTCTTCGCTTTTTCCCGAGTGTCGTCCCAGATCCATGAATCATCCAGCATGGATAACAGCGATCCCTGACACGCCACGTTGGAACAGCCTCAGCGCCAACCGCCCTCAGTCACCTGTCAAAATTGAGCAGCCACTCACAACTCCGAAGGAAGCGCGAACTGCCCAAAAACACTTTCCCGCACCAGCCCTGCCGTGCACTGCGCCTTTGCATCCCCCATGGTGGGGTCCGACCAACCAATGCTTCCATCGGAAACTCGGGTTCGATCGATTTCACCGCGGAAGAGCCTCCCTCTCAACAGGTGGAGCGGAGCTCATCTTTCTTCCCCAACCACCTCCCCCAAGCCTGCCCGGTTCACCTTGCTGTCCGCGCAATCGCCGGAAGCGGATGGAGTAAAAAGGGAGGGAAAGGGAGGGGGCGGGCAGGGAGGGGAGTGGTGGAAGAAGGGCGGCGCTGTTGAGCTGCCCGTAAATCTCAGTTCTGCTGGCTGTACAGCAGCACCTGCTGCTGGTGGACAAGCAAGCAAGCTCACTCCTTCTTGCTAGTCCTTCGGAGCACTGGTCATCCGACTCACACGACCCTAGAAAGCAGGAGCCAGTGAGGATAGGAATAGAAGTTTAATCAGCTTGACAACAGGGTTTCTGTTGGTGGCCTTTGGTTCCTGAGTCCTGACCTGATGTATGTAGGAGGCTGCTAGCCTCCAGCCTGCTGGAGTAACGTGAGTGCGCTATGCTTCGGGGGTAGCTGCATGCGTCCTACTAATTCAGCGGTTTAATATATTTGCTAAAGCGTTTCAACGCGGCTTTCTTTAATCACGTGACCCCCTCACTTGGCCTTTGCCTGTAACCAGCGCGCTGTCATTGTCGTTTACCTTAGTATTGATGTACTTTATTCTTACAAATAAGGAATTTGAAGTACCAGTTTTTATTACTTTTACGTCATATTCCACTCCCGTTTTAAAGGCTTAATGAGTAACGGTCCTATCCTCGCCGGATCTCCCAATAAGAGCTGCTCCCGCGACACCCGGAGCAGCGACGGAGTTGGCGCTGATGTGAGCAACAGGAGCAGCAGTATCAGCGCCTCTCCTAGTGCCAAATCCGCCATTCCTCCAGCGAGCGAGTCGCCATCTGCTTCGTTCTTTGACATCTCACCACCTGCTACCCGTTCCGACACGCCTCCCCCTTCCCGCTCTTTCTTAAGCTTGCTGCCTTTCGCGTCCCTGGGTTCCAAGCGCCTTCAGCAGCAGCAGCAGCAGCAGCCGTCGACTCGTGCCGGCGTGTCAACAGCGGGAGGCTCGCTGCTCGAGTTACTCGACGAGGGGTGGTTCTCCAGCAATGTCGCCGCGTGGCCTCATGATTTAACCACAATCCAGGAAGCCGTTAACGAGACAGAGGATGCTGATAACGGGGATACGCTTCCAGGGGTCCCGGAAACGGGGAGGGTTGCGTGTGCGCACGTGGATTTAAACGCTCCGAGTCCCGCCAGCAACTTCCGCGAAGGCGCAGGTGGTGCGGCAGCGGAGTGTGATTGCGCGGCGGCTGATGACCGAACCAGCGGGGGTGCTTCGGCTGTGTCCGAAGCGAGCGGTTGTTCCAGGTCTGGCAGTCCCGAGCCTGACCCTGAAGGCAGCTTCGGAAAGTACCGGCGCCGCCGCGGCCGGTCGGGAAGCAGGCGGCGACCGAAGCGTAGCAGCAGCCTCGACGCGGCGCGCATGTCGAGGCGCGTGTCGATGCCTCCGCATCCTCCGCTTCCGACGGACGAAGAACAGCGGGATTCAATAGAGACGCGAAGCAGCGACGGCGAATGCTACGAGCGCACTACCTCCCCTTACGCTTCGTCCGGGCGGGGGACGTACGCGGAGAGGCGGGGGAGCGGTGGGGAGCATTTCTCGGCGTTTCACCCCTCTCCCCCTTTCCGCTGGTCAGAGCGGGGTACGGGGGCGCCGGAATCGGAGAATGCGGCTTGCGGAAGCAGAAGCGCGGGGAAACCGCGGTATCTGCGCACGCGGAGTGTAACGGATTATGACTCGGCGGAGTACGAGCGCAACAGCTCGCTGTGCCAAGGCGCACATGAGGTGGAAGCGGACGCGGAGGGCGGAGACGGGCTCCCCTTGACGCCCTCCGCGCGTGCAAGAAGCCTGACAGAGGCTGACGTGGAGGAGCTCCGGGGGTTCATGGATCTGGGTTTCAACTTCCGCCAGGCGGACATGAGCGCGCGCATGACCGCCACGCTGCCCGCGCTGCGCCTGTATCACGCCGTGGGGAGCGTGCAGCAGAGACTCATCTCCCGCCACCATCATCACGCCGCTCCCGCTACAGCCGGTGCCGCTACAGATGATGTTCACAGTGCCGCTGGCGGCGCTACTGGCAGTCCTTTTGGCGGTGCTACTAGCAGCGGTGCGGACGGCAGCATGGCAGTGGGTGTTAGCAGCGGCACCTCGTCGCCACGGATCTTGTGCTTCCCGGGGGACCCGTTCGTTGTTGCCCGCTCCTCTGAACCCCACGCCATGGTACGGCCGCTTGCCTGAATCGCTCGCACCTCGCATTCAGCTGCTGCGAATTCCATGGCTGTCGTTTGTTTTGCCTGGTGCTGTTCCTGGTTTATCTGACTATCCATCCCCACCTGACCGGCCCTCTTGTCCTCCCCCTCACACTCTGTTTCCCCCCAACTTCTAACCCCAGCAGCAGCGAGGCAGCTCCATGCCGTCGTCTCCGCGCCACATCCCATCCCTCATTGGCACCAGCACTATTTGCACCAGGAGCCACAGCCATGGGCACAGTCCGGAGCATGAGCAGCAGGGGCAGGGGCAGAGGGGGGTGAGTGGCAGCCTGGATGCGGAGTGGTCGTTTGCCAATCTGCATGACCCCCCCTCGGACGTCAAGACACACCTCAGGCTCTGGGCTCAGGCCGTTGCCAGCACTGTCAGGCAGACATGCTAGCCGCTGTGCTGTGCTGCGATTGCTGCTTTGCGGTGGTGCCCTTGCTGCAATGCTGCTGCCATGGCGGTCACCAGCAAGCACTTCCTGGCAGATGTCCCAGCTGCCTGGGTGAATGGATGGCTAATGTCTTTATGCCACTGCCTGCCAGGCAGTGCTGGCAATCAGAGGAGCTGGGATGCGGTTGGTGGGGATATGCGGGTACTAACTTGAAGGTAGTGAAGGAGGGCTTTGGCTGGCATGCTGTGCAGTGCAGTCATGAATGCATTGCCATAGCGCCTTCCATTTCCTGATGGTTGGTTGATGCAAGTCTGATTGACATTGGAGCTGACTCTAATTATTATAGTGCTCCTTGTACAGCGATTTTTACTAGGTACCTTTCTACATGTGTGTTTCCTCCTTGCGATGTGTTGTTCCATTTCCCCAGAGCCATCGCACCCAAGCTTGGATGCAGAGTGGTCGTTTGCCAACCCACAGGACCCCCCCTCGGATGTCAAGGCACGCCTCAGGCTCTGGGCTCAAGCCGTTGCCAGCACTGTCCGGCAGACGTGCTATCTGCTGTGCGGTGCTGAGATTGCTGCTTTGCGGTTGTGCTGCTGCTGCTGTGCTGTGGTTCCATGGCTGCAATGCTGCTGCCATGGTGGTTGCCAGAGTGATGTCTCACGTGGGCTGCCTGGGTGAATGGACGGCTAATGCTACTGCTAGGAAGTGCTGGAGATCAGAGCCACTGGGATGCGGTTGGTGGGATGTGGGTACTACCGTGTTGGAAATCCGAATACAGTATAACGAATACTGTATACCAGTGTGCTGTTTGGTTTTAGTGTAGTCCCCTCTATAAGCCTCCATGATAAGGGGGGGGATTTACTGTTCCCTTTTGAACAGTACATTCCAACTCACCCTTATCCTTATCCTCCTTGATTTCCTTGTGCCATCTGGCACTCTACTTCTCTTGCTTCTACTTTTGGTCTCTCACGAAGCACTTTCCATCATTAGATCATGCATGCTATATCAAGCTTGCTTGTATTGCCTAAAATCCATCAAATTCTCAATCCGTTCCAGTGCAAGAGTTCTATCTTGTTCTTTCTACAAACACGTTTCCTCTACGCTGGCACTATGCCTTTCTAGCATGGTATCAGAGCAACTCTAGGGGGCATGCTGCCAAATTTGGTCTATAAAGTTGCTGGAATCCCCTTCGGATAGGTACCTGCAAACGCTCAGAGTACCAGGCACCTAGTATACGCTTTCGTACACGTGGTCTTCACTTCTGAAGTTATCTTGCGCGTGTAGCGCACACCTGGTGTACGGTTTGATCATGGCGCAATTCGATGATGAAGTGGATGCTGGATATGCGGCTTTTGAAGAAGCCATCTTGGCCCAGCATGAGCACCTGGAAAACATGATTTCAAGGGCACCACCAGCACTGCAGGCATCACTGCGAGTCAAGTTCAACATGCCAACAACCGCACACTCGTTGAGCAATCCGTCCACTCATGGACAGTCGCATTCAAGCACTCCTCGTACTAACCAAACGCATGCTTCCAATGTCGTTGCAGGAATTGATGGTGAAGGGGAAATGAGCATACCCCAAGGAGGAGAGTCATCCCAAGGGAGGGATGCATCCGTCCAAGGAGGGGGGAGCGCCAATCCCGCACCTCAATCATCCATGCAAAGAGAAGCGCGGGGGAGGAATGATGAGTATGGGAACGCATTATATGGTGGAATGAGAAGTGGACAGATTGGCCAGCAGAATGACGGAAATGGTCAAGTGGGCGTGGAAGGTGTGGGATTTGCCTCCTACACTATTGGTGCTCCCCCACTACGACGACTTGCGACTAACTCTCATCCCATTGGAGTTCTTCCCATGCCCAGGTCTCACCTTCGTGGCGACAACATCATCCCTCCGCGTGCACATCGTCCACCAATTAGCGCACACTCTGTGGGCAGCATGGGGCGGATGGGGTACGGAATGCAGTCAAGTGGTGTCATGCGACGGGATCAAGTGGAAGTGCTGGAACGTCAACTTGGTGGACAGAATGGAGATATGCGGCGCACGGTACAGCTACCTCGACCGTCAACCATGCCTACTCTCTTCGACCCCGCACCACGTGAATATACGGACGAAGACAAGGAACGACTGTCACGCAAAATGGTGGGAGCAACGGTGGACAAGGCATTCACCACCACTCCGTTTGACGGCTCAAATTTCCGCGAATGGGCACTACGGTTTCGTATGAACGCCCGCGTCACGAATCTGTGGGAGTTCTTTGTGACCCTGCAGTATCCGGTTACCATGGGAGATGGTGACATTGACGACGCTATGGGGCGGCTGGAAATGCTACAGGCGGATTACTCCCAGCGTGCGGCACTCGCCTTTTGGGTCCTATTGCACAGCGTGAGCGCCACGATTCAACTACAGCTAGACATGTTCCAGGAATCCTACAGCCCGGCTTATGAAGCATGGGAGTATTTGATGGACACTTACCAGGCCAAAGATTCGGTGGCGAAGGTCTCTCTCATGAAGCAGTTGGACAACCTGAAAATGGGGAATCAAGAGAGGGTGGAGGAGTATGTGAACCGCGCAACGGCGATTCGGGACAAGTTGGCGTTGGCAGGAAAGATGGTGGATGAGGACACATTCACCTTAAATCTGCTCACCGGACTACCGGCACATTGGGAGGAGATGAGGCACTCGGCAATGCTACACAACGTAACGGACAGCTTCACTTTGCAGCGGATGATGATTCGAGAGCAAAGATATCAAGACCTCATTACCAAGGCGAATCGTGACCGGCGTCCACCTCGCATGGCTGGACAAGCTCGTGGAGATCACTCACCTTCTCCACATGCTACGGGAAACATCGGAAATGATGAGATGGGTTCGGCGTGGTCACCAAAAGAACGGCATGGGTCAGTTGGGGAGAAAATGCAAGGCAAGAATGGAGGTGCGGGTCGCTCAACTCTCGTGTGTTGGTACTGTAAGGAGCCAGGCCACCCCTTCTACAAGTGCACCAAGGCACCTCCAAATTGGTCACCACCAGGGTGGGAATCTCCTACCCGAGGGAGAACAAACCAACGCAGCAACTACAACCGTTCGTCCTCTCCACGAAGGAGTGGCAGTCCCAAGCATGACCAAAGTGCGTCACAACAACAAGGGGCAGCCGAAGGAGACAACAAACGCACCATTACCTGCATTGCAACGGTGCGATCATCACAAGCAACCTTACCCTCGGCTGGAAGGTCTTTCTGGCTGCTAGACAGCGGATGCAGCCAGCACATGACTTCGGACAAGCGCTGGTTTGAAGAGCTGAAGGAGCTGGCCGACCCTGTGAATGTGGAGCTTGCTGATGGAAGCCAACTGCGCAGCACGATGATGGGAACGGTCAGGGCAACGGCACCGGATGGGATAACAGTTCGCTACACTGACGTTCTCTACGTACCCGGCCTGAAATCCAATCTCCTCTCCTACTGCCAACTGTACAAGAAAGGTGCACAGATTCGTACGCGTACTGACGGGCACACAGCGATCACAATGGCGGATGGAGATGAGCATGTGTGCATTGGACTTGGGATCATCATGCATGGGGTACTCATGGTGGAGTATGAGCCTGCACTTACATCCGCCCATGGTCCTGGTCCTTCCCGTGATGATGCATCATCGAAAGCGCATGGTGGTGAAGGGGACACAACTCTCTGCACACTGGGAGTGCACTTCGGTACACACGGAAGCTCAGATTTCCGCACACCTGAAATACACTTGAGTGGCCATTCTGCACACGCATCTGTCACATACCGCATGGCACACAAGCGTTTGGGGCATCCGTCATACGCTTCCATGGATGCCACATTTCGGAATGGTGACATTGAAGGGCTTACCATTTCTGACAAAACCAACCCTCTGAAGCCCCCGTGTGACTCTTGCTTGCGAGGAAAAATGACCAAAGCCCCTTTTCCTACAGGAAATGAGAAGCGGTCAAGTCGCCCTTTGGAGCTCGTGCACAGCGACATCATGGACCTGGGTGACGCCCACCCCTCACTTCGCTACGTCCTGACGCTCAAGGATGACTTTACCAACTACTTGTGGGTGGCGCCGCTAGTTCGCCGATCTGACATGCAAGCTGTCTTCACGGCATGGCACCGCGAAATGAAGACTAAGCTGCCTACAAAGCCGCTGGCTACCCTGCGCACGGACAACGGGGGGGAGTATACAGCAAACGCCTTCACAGAATATTTGAGTTCCCACGGCGTCATCCACGAAACGTCGTTACCGCACACCCCTCAGCAGAATGGAGTCGCGGAACGGGTTAACCGCACACTCATGGACAAAGTGCGGACCATGACTACCGGGGCCAGCCTCTCCTCCACCTTCTGGCCGTACGCGCTTGAGTACGCTACATGGTTACACAACCGCATCAGCTGCAGCAGCAACCCATCTGCGCACTCACCGTACTATGTGATGACGGGGAAACCTGCGGACGTGTCCATGGCACGAACCTTTGGCTGCCTCTGCTATTACCTTCCTCCACAAGGCAGCTTTGGCAAGTTTGAGCAGAGAGGCCGAGCTGGCATGTTCCTCGGCATCTCCAACGTTCGGAAAGCGTGGATCGTGCGGGACATGGCAAGTGACGTGGACACGGACACTCGGTCTGCTCGCTTCTTTGATGACCTCATGTTGCCGGACGCAGAATCTCTCCTCGAACGTCAACGCTATGTCGATGAAGTCTCACCCCACGTTGCGGAGTGGACTTCAGGGGGAGAAGAAATTGAGCATGAGTTCGATCCTTTTCCGTCCTCCCCATCCTCTTCCGCGTCATCAACCGATATGCCAACTGGACACCAAGTATGCAGTACCCCTGCTGGAGGAATGGACAAGGACTCACCTGCAGCCGACGCAGCTGATTCAAGTGGAGCTGCAACCAATGACATACCTGCGGCAGGTGTTTCTATTTCAGAGAACGGGGACGACCATGGCATGGAGAACGAGACATGTCACCTTTATGACTTTGCCTACCCACCTGAAGGAATTCCACTGACCGAACAAGGTGCACCACAACGACGAGTTCACTTTGATCCGACTGTAACTGTGCTCGGAGAAGAAGGGCAAGCTGCGCACCGCATAACAGGGCTGGACGTGCTACTTGGAAAGCGTCAAGCAGGACAAGTCATGTGGACTAAGGAAGACATGCCACAAGGAGTCAACAGCCTTCCCAGCTTACAGCAACACGTGTTGGGATGTGCAGCTGCGACTGTGCCCATGGTCGACCTGACCTACAAAGAGCCAAAGTCACTCAAAGAACTGACCACGGATCCATACGCACCTTTTTGGCAAGCGGCAGTCAACGCGGAGCTCACCAAATTTGACGAGCTGGGAGCGTATGAAGTGGTGGACAGGGCGGACGTACCAAAGGGAGTCCCGGTGTTCACGGAGGGAATTATCTTCAGGGTCAAACGAGATGACAAAGGCCAGCCAAGCAGGTTCAAGGCACGGTGGGTGGTGAAAGGCTGTGGACAGACGTGGGGAACATATGATGAGACATACGCCCCGGTCAGCCAAGGACCTACTTCACGCATGTTTGTTGCAGGCGCATCAACAACGAAGCGGAAAGTTGTGCAGCTGGACATCTCCAACGCATTTCTTTATGCACCAATTGACAGAGATGTGTACGTGCGACCACCTGAACCTCGACGTGATGGAGACAAGGTTTGGAAGCTCAGGCGCAGCGTCTATGGGCTGAAACAAGCACCTCGATTGTGGCATCAACACTTACGAGGAGTACTGCTGGAGCTGGAAATGATGTAGTCGGAGTCTGATCCATCACTGTTCATCTGGAGGAGGGCTGGAAAAGATACGGTGTGGCTGCTCACTTACGTGGATGACATCCTCATTCAGTCTAATGATGAGGAAGGCATCCAAGCAGTCATTCAACACTTGAAGGACAACTTCACCTTGACCGTCAACTCGACCATGACACAATTTCTGGGTTTGAATGTTACTACTTCCCGCAACACCATATCATTGGGACTCACCAAGTACATCAAACAAGCGTTGGCAAACTATGGGATGGAGGAGTGCCGCTCTGGAGTACGAACGCCGATTTCCAAGGAACCTGGACCTCAGGGGGAGTCACCTGAAGAGGTGGACAATCAGCGGGTGATGCAGCAGGTTGGGGCGCTGCTATATGTCTCTACAGCAGGAAGGCCAGACATCACCTTTGCCACGCATGTGCTCGCCAGACAGGCCAGCAAGCCAACGGCAGCAACTGTGCTCGGAATTCGGCGTGTGTTCAAGTATCTGCAGAATACAGCTGAGATTGGATTGGTTTATGGAGAGGGAGACTTGGTGCTTCGTGGATACACAGACTCTGACTATGCAAATGAGGTTGGATGTCACTCGGTGGGCGGCTATGTGTTTACGATGGGGGGAGCTGCTGTCAGCTGGAGGACGAAACGGCAAACGGTCATCGCTACCTCCACAACAGAAGCTGAGTACATCGCCATGTTTGAAGGAGCAAGGGAAGCAGCTCACCTGCGGCGACTGTGTGCCGACCTTGGTTTTCCACAGAGAGAACCCACAGTTCTTTATGTGGATAACCAGAGTGCGATTGCCCTTGGAAAAGGGGAACAAATGAGTCAGCGCACCAAGCACATGGAGGTGCGTTACCACTGGACCCGTAAAGCAGTGCGTGATGGCGTGGTATGGTTGGAGTACTGTCCAACAACCAAGCAAGCAGCCGATTACCTTACCAAACCGGTCACCTCCAAGCAGCATCTCACCTGCAGTGTTCTGAGTGGGCTTCAACCAATTCCCCCTGGTGTACCATCTGGAGACATTCGCCATGTCAAGAATGCTGATGTTGTGCTCACTTGTGCGGCCTCTTCAAGCGGTGCTACACCACATGGCGTCACCTAACTCCACACTCACTCACGTGCTTGTAGCTGTGTACGCGGTTACGTGCATGCCTACAAGCACATGGGGGGGGGGGGGGGGGTTGGGTGTCGAGTGTATCTAGTGGCACTAAACTGGGACATGGGGTCACAAAGCATACGGGGAAGACCTACTCACCATACGGAGAACATACACGGGAGCACAGTTTCCTGCATACCTGGTCTACTTGGTGTGCACATATCTGCATACCTACTTGGCGTTACTGCATACCAGGGGTGCATAAAACTGCTCACCTGGAGTGCACTGCAGCCTTGGCGTACACATTTCTGCACACTTGGAGCGCACCTGTCATCCCGCTTTGCGTCGAAATATGCAAACTCGAGCTGATGAAGTTCCGCAACTCCAGCGGCTCCCATACATCTGGAGTGTAGGGGGAGCATCACATGACAACATGGGTGAAGTTCGGGCAGACTTAGCATCATCTGGTGGTGTGCATTCAAGACTTGCACAAACTGATGCCATCGCATCCCGAGGCAGGGGGAGAAGGGCAAAGGCAGAGCAGGAAGCCAGGGGGAGAAACGACACACGAAGATACAGCAAGCACGGACAGGAAAATAGTGTAGCAGACGCGCAGCAGATCGTCAGCCGCTAAGCCGTCGCTTCTCCCGCACGCCGTGTACGCCTGCCTGCGCCAGCCGCACGTCACGCGTTATTCGCTACCAGTTCGCGTCATCAGCAGTCGTCGCAGGCGCACATCCGCTGCGGTGTTTTTTTTGTCGTCGCACAGGAGGCATGCGAAAAAGACAGCAGCGCTGACAATCGCGTGACGTAAAGTTGACGGTTTCGGAAATTCGGTGTGCGCTAAGGGCAATCCGCCATGACGATCTACGCATTTCGCCATGGTTACGAGGAGATTTCGTCATGGAGCTGCTACTATTTCCTCAGTAGCAGCCACTACGCGCTGTATCTAGATCTGGAAAGTCGCCAGTGGAAGGAGGGATTGGAAAACATCAAGGGAGGAGGTTTGGTTGGAGTTTGAAAGCACCAAAGGCTTGGGAGGGGAAAGGTGCTACAGTGACGAGCAGCTTGGCCACCACCAAACCCTAGCTTGGTTTGGGCGCACCCCTACCTTGTGGTGGTACACCACCTCGACCACCCCATCCTCCAAGGAAAACGGATTCACTAAAACCTACAGCAAGGGGGAGTGTTGGAAATCCGAATACAGTATAACGAATACTGTATACCAGTGTGCTGTTTGGTTTTAGTGTAGTCCCCTCTATAAGCCTCCATGATAAGGGGGGGGATTTACTGTTCCCTTTTGAACAGTACATTCCAACTCACCCTTATCCTTATCCTCCTTGATTTCCTTGTGCCATCTGGCACTCTACTTCTCTTGCTTCTACTTTTGGTCTCTCACGAAGCACTTTCCATCATTAGATCATGCATGCTATATCAAGCTTGCTTGTATTGCCTAAAATCCATCAAATTCTCAATCCGTTCCAGTGCAAGAGTTCTATCTTGTTCTTTCTACAAACACGTTTCCTCTACGCTGGCACTATGCCTTTCTAGCATACCGTAACTTGAAGGTAGTGAAAGAGGGCTTTGACTGGCATGTTTAGAAGGGCAGGATTGAGTGTGCTGCCATGTCTACGTTGCCTGATGGTTGGTTGAGCAATTCAGACATTGGAGTCTAATAATCATTGTATCCCTTGTACAGGGGCGTTTACCTACTACCTGGAAGTGTTTCTGCATGCCTTCTCCACTTGAGAATCCTGAGAAGGCCACATAATGTCTTCAAGTTCCACTTATGGTATCCTTTAATGTACACCAAGCCAACCAACACAAGAAGCAAATCATACCGTATCCCCCCGGATATACCCCCATGGGGGGCAATAATAAAACAGGTTTTTTCATGGGGGTGGGCTTATAATCGAGTAAATTTATAAGCGCCGGCGTTTATAAAATGACATACATATTTTGTTATATCTTTTAACACCAAACTGTAGGTCTCGTGCTTGCCTTTTCAATCGAGTCGAAGTTACATGGGATCGTCTGTGAAATTCTCGCGCGCGCTGGGAGATACACCCAATCTGACTCACATCCAGCTCCTGATAGGTCCTGCTGACTGGACCCGCATCCAGTGCAGGGTCCGAATGTGAAGGGAACCGAATCTGCAACATATCCGCCTGCTAAAGTAAAAATCGTTACAGCTTTTTGAACACATTTCAAATTTTAAAGTTTACGTGCGCTTATAATAAAACAAGTTTTTTCAAGGGGTGCGCTTATAATCGAGGAGGGGATATAAGCGCCATATGCCAATTAGAAGCGCTAGGCGCTTATCCTAGGGTGGCGCTTATATCCGGGGGGAGACGGTAGTAATACTTCAGCCTGGAAGCTTGGTGGCCTGCGTGCGTCTCATGCCCTGCACCAACAAAAACATTTGACCGAGGCACCAGTATCTGGAATATCTACAGCGCAGCACAAGCGTCGAGCGAGCTTTGAAGAAACCCGAAACCTGTGCAGACGGATTTAGTCCTTACTATGGGTAGTATGACGAGCGTTGTGCAATCGCACAAGGGCGGGGGGCGATGAACTGAGAACTTTTGTTGAAGGAGTGGGGCTAGGCGGATGGAGGGTTGGAATTCACAACGTTTGGCATCTCCCTGTCCAAGGAGAGGCGGAGGAGACGGCGTGAGGCGGCTGGCACGGTTGGTCGGCATCGTCAGGGAACGAGCAAGTGACAGACAGCAGACAAACCCATAAAGATCAGTTGCGGGATGTGAAATCTGGCATGATCGGTCGCCAGTATACCCCTGAGGGTATTTAGAACAATTTGGGAGGCAGAATGACATTGTCGATACCGTGGAGACAAAACAGGTGGATCTTATCTGCTGCTATGTCACATCGGGTTACCACTGCCCTCTGCGACGGCTTCTTTGCGCCAGGAGGCCCGAAAATCAGGGTGCTCCTGAGCGGTGCTCTTTGCCTCAAGAGCCATACAACGTACAAGGTGGGGAACCTCGTACCGAAAGGAAACATTCGAAGGACGAAGCATTGACACCTATAAAGCAACACGTGATAGTTGAGGAGTTTGACCAACTTGGGCCCGGAGAGCTGCTCTCGGACGCACGTGGGAAGGGTCGCGAAGGCTTTGTCGCTGGGAGCAAGCAGGGTTAAGGGCTCCCTCTGAACATACCACGAGACGAAGTCCTCTAAACCTGGATGGGAAGGGAGAAATAATGAGTTTGCTGGATTCATGAATGAAAGAGAAGAAGAAGAAAGAAAGAAACAGGGAACCTAAACGGAAACCCAACGAGACAGGCAATGCGGCAGATGGGACTGACGGATTGCTAGAGAGAATGTGCTGGGATCTTTGTAGGGTTGAGAAGTTACCAGATGATTGGAGGTACGTCATGTACGTGCTGTACTCGCCCGCCTCCGTCAGCGCCTGTTTAGCCATATTCATTTCGGCCATTCGGTCTCCCGTTGCAACGGCGCAGGCCACAAAGACGAGAGCGAGAAACCCGACGAGGACTCTTACAATGTGCGCCATTGTGCGAAGTAGGAATGAAGACGACCTAAGCAGCGTGGGTCTTTGACGCGTTTTGGTAGTGGAAGGAACGATAGTATCTCAAACATGAAAGTTTAGAAACCTTGGCGATTTTTGCTGTGCTGGCGCGGGTGATACACATGGCCTTTCTTGCTGTGCTGGTGTGGTGCGGGTGATATTCTTGCTGTGCTGGTGTGGCGTGGGTGATATTGCTTTCTGTGCTGGTATGGTGCGGGTGATATTTCTTGCTGCGGGTGATATTTATTGCTGTGCTGGTGTGGTGCGGGTGATACGGTATTTCTTGCTATGCTGGTGTGGTGCGGGTGATATTTCTTGCTGTGCCGGTGTGGTGCGGGTGATATTTCTTGCTGTGCTGGTGTGGTGCGGGTGATATTTCTTGCTGTGCTGGTGTGGTGCGGGTGATATTTCTTGGGAAATGATCAGATTGGGGCCCCAGAGCTCTAGGAAAGTCACCGAGAAAAGATCTCCAAGTCTGCCTCGCCTTACCCCCCAGCCTCGTAGCGTGCCCGAACAGCATCCAGTCGCGCCTGCATCCTCTACTCCTACATCGACTCCTTGGTCGTCCATGGCGGTTTAGACAGTTGTCGGCCTACAACGACTTAGGTATTGCGCGGAAAAGTCGGCTAATCTGAAGGTCCTAACGCGAGGCCGTTTCACGCTTACCGCACCATGCGGAGAGTCACCCTACAACGGGAGTGGACTACGGAGGAGGGCACGGGGTTGTGCCGGTTCTTACTACTTGCTGTTTTGCCAGAGTTTCCACGAAGGAAATTGAAAAGAGCGTTGAGAAATTGAGAATATTAGAGTACAAAGAAGAGCATGCAAAATTCATATGACTAGAGTGGCATTGGAATCCCTAGCAAGCATTTTGCAAGGCGAATTGCCAGCACTGCATCAGAGCGGCTCGCCAACGCTGCAATAGGGTGGCTTGCCAGCGTGGCAGAAGAGCGACGTGCCAGCGCTGCAACAGGGCGGCCTGCCAGTGCTGCATTTGCAGATGAATATCTGCGCAGGTGTGCATCTGCCGAGTAGGTGCAGGTAGACGGTTGCACCGTCAGAGACATTGCGCAAGGTGCTAGGTAGAAAACGTTCCGACGGTTTCGTCATATGTCCACCGTCGAGCACGTGATGCCATTTCGCAGGTCGAATTTCGCTAAGAGTCGCCTGAGCGAATTTCACATTCTAAGAGTTTCGCAGTCGCGCGAATTCGGCCAGCTAGTTCGCCAAGATGAGACTCGCCGAATAATACCATTCGATCAGAGAACGGAGCTCCTCGGGAAGCACCCCAACCGTCAAAGTTCGCGCGACCCAGAAGCAGATTAGAAGACGAGCTCGTCGAACAACACCTCGTCGACCAGAGCTCATTGATGGGCTGGTGAATCAGAGGACCACCTCCTCGAAAACCACATGCTGGTTCAAAGGACGAGCTGATCCAATGCGACGATCACTTGGT